TGGTGGACAGGAGGGTAGTTGACTTTCTCCCATTCCTGAGCTGCAGCCTGTCATACGGATGCACGACAATTTATTCATCCGTTTATTTGTTCATGGGCAAGTAGGGCTACCTCCATGTAGAGGCCGTTTTGAATAAAGCTGCTCTAAGATAAGCATTCGCGTCTTTGGGGGAACATGGGTTACGTTTCTGTGGGGCACGTTCCCAAGAATTGTAATTTCTGGGCCACAGGATAAGGACGGATTGAGTTTTTAGTAGATACTGCCAAGAGAGTTTTCCAAAGTGGCCGTACTAATTTGTTCTCCCACAAGCAATGCGTGCGAGTTTCCAGGGTTCCACGCCATCACTGCTTGATACGGTCAGGGTTCCTCATTTGAACCAGACCGACAGCTGTTCTAGAATACTGAAGTGGGACTTTATTTTTTATTTTTTTAAGATTTTATTTATTTATTCATGAGAGACAGACACAGAGAGAGAGAGAGAGAGGCAGAGACCCAGGCAGAGGGAGAAGCAGGCTCCGTGCAGGGAGCCCGACGTGGGACTCGATCCCGGGACTCCAAGATCACGCCCTGGGCCCAAGGCAGGTGCTAAACCACTGAGTCTCCCAGACTGCCCTGAAGTGGGACGTTAATTTACATTTTCTGAGGGCCAGAAAAGCTAATCGGCCTTTCAAATGTTTACCTGCCATTTTGATATTCTTATTTGTGAAGTGCCTGTTCATGTCTTTTACCCATTTTCTGGTCTTACTGGATTGTCTGCCTTTTTCTTGTTGGTTGTAGGAGTTACTTACATATTTTGCACAAGGTCAGGTACATGTATCTGAAGAAGAAATTTATTTATTTATTTATTTATTTATTTATTTATTTATTTATTTATTTATTCCTACTCTGCAGATTGCATTTTCATTCTGTGAATAGCAGTATCTGATGAACAGAAATTCCTAATTTTAATGTGTTCCACGTAGCGATCCTTTCCCTTACACTTCGTGTTTTTTGCATCCTACTGAATAAATACCAACCTACCCAAAAGTCATGAGATAGTCTGCTGCTGTCTTATTTTTAAGAAGTTTTGTTTTGTGTTTCCTTCCACCAAGAGAATATTATTCTTCCTCAGATATTTTTTCTTTTTTTTTCTTTTTTTTTTGATATTTTTTTTCTATGACTCCTCTACCTCACCCGCCTGAGTGATTTATTTCCTTCCCAAATCTCCATAATGGTGTGCCTTATTTTCATTATCTCTATTATATTACATATTACCCTGACTCTTGTGTATTTCTCTGCCCTTTGTCTCTATCTCGTCCCTACACTCCATTCAACAGATTATCTAAATTCTTCATGGTCTTCTCACTCAGCTCTGGTCATGAGGCCTGCTACGTGACCCTAAAACTGGTCTGTCTCTCAACCCCAACTGGTACCTTTATGGCCTGAATCTGTGAGTGCTGCCTCTGAGTGCTGCAATTGCCCGTCACTGGTCACCCACCACCAATCTAGCCTTGTCTAATTAATTGACCACCAGACAGCCAGAGATCTTCCAAAATATCAATCTCTTCATGCTACCTCCTTTTCAAAAACGCTTCCATGGTGCCCATTACCCTCAAATTCATGTTCAAGTCATTAACGTGCTGCAGAGGCCTTCCAGGATCTGGAGGATTGTTTTGTCTTTTCCACCGTTGGTGTCTCTGGTTGAATCTTCTTAACACATTTTCATTTCCTTGAGTGCTCCTTTTTTTTTTTAATTTTTAATTCTTAAAAAAAAATTTTAAACGCTTTTTTTTTTCTTTTTAAGTGCTCCTTTATAAAGACTCTCTCTGCCTCCGTATCCATGCTCCTGCCTCCTCTTCATCTTCCAGGTCTCATCCTCTACATCTTCTCTGATTCCTTAGTAGGTTAAGTCTCAACACCGTCTGGTACCAAGAAGCCCTCAGAATTTTTCTACACTACAATTCTTTATGCCTATTATTATTTGTTTAAGCCCATCTTCTCTGATACAGTGTGTATTTTCTAGGGACACAAACTGTGTCTGTCTAGAGCACCACTATACCCTTATGCTTGGTTGGATGCCAAGGTGGGTTCCTACAAAATATGTCTATCTATACAGGTATGTCGGTATCTCCGTAGGTGTCTATATATACACATGTACTTGCTGTAATGAGTTGAACTGATTGGTGCCCATAGGCTCAGGCGTTCGCACTGGATCTGGCACACAGTCATGCTCAATTAAGGGTTGGTGGTTCCCTGTCTTTATAATGAAAAGGACTGAACGACCACCTACTTCAATTACCCAGCCCAGCGGAACGATGATTAAATAATCTAACATTTCCACCAGATGTCATTTACTTCTAACTCTGCTAACAGAGAGTCACTACATACCTCAGCAGGCCACTGCAGGTTTGGGCATGAACGTGCCCTGGAAGTTTATACTGAGCTTGAACTGAGGTCTATTTCATCTCAGCTAAGAGCTGGGATCCTTGTCATTTCCTGCAAGCAGATCAGCTTTGGCTCATTTTATCCACATTAATGAATTTGACTATCTTTTCTGCAAGACAGTCTTTGGGGTATCTGCAGCCAAATCCTATTGTACCAAGTCAACTCTCTTAAGCTATCCATCATAAGACACCCGTCTTTGGATGCACTGTAATTCCCTAGCACCCCTCTTGAAGTGGGATGCCCAGACTTGGACCCGAGTTTCCAGGTGTGCTCTGACCAGTCTAGACTGGGACAAGGGAGCCACCTCCTTTTTGGTGGATAACATACTTCTAGTAACATAACCAATGGTGGACCTGGCTTTTGGGAGACTGAGACTTATACCAAAATTGTTTATTGAGAAAAAGATTTCAAAATAAGATGTGAAAGTGGATATTTAGAATGAAAAAAGTTGGGGACATAGGAGGTGGGGGAGCCGTGGACCTCAAGCTTCATTAGCTTCATGGTAAATCAGCCTCTAAATGTCCCTAAGATCTTAATAACTTCCTGGAAACATCTTGTTAATCCCTTCTAAATTTACTCCAATTATAACTCACAGGTCTCTCCACTGCCAACATTCACAGCAGGGTTAGCAAGTGTAGGCTGGAGCCAAGCTTCCCGGACTCAAACATCGCTCTCGCTTCACAAGGTCGCCACAGGTATCGCAGGAACTGATAAGTTGAAAATCTTGGCACGCCCAAGGCAGATCTGTCTCTCTTATCTACTTTCTTATCAGGTGATTACCAAACCCACTGTCCACCCTCTTCTCCACTAAAGGGGCAGGGTTATTCTTCCTGTGTTTGAGGTTTTGTTTTGTTGTGTTTTCTTTTAACGCTAAACCACTTTCCTGGTCTGAATTTCCTAGAGGGCTTTTCGTTCAGTGCTCCCGAGTGACATCCCCTAGCCCTCCCTGCACCGTCTTCCAACCATCTTCTATAACAGGAGCGTGAATCAAAGGGTTGCCAAGGAACTGGGATATAAAAGTCATATTAGGCTCTGCTTAGCTCCACCTGCCAATCTCAACTCCACTTTCCTCCCACTGACATTCAGAATCACCTTTCTCAGATACCTTTCTAGAAGGTCACATTTTCAGTCTGCTCAAAGTTGAAGCGTGCCATTTTTTTTTCTGACTATAAAGTTAATACATGATCGTTGTAGAAAAGTTAGAAAAAGAACTGGCAGCCTAAAATAAATCATCTGCAACCTCACCAGCCAGAGGTAACCTCTTTTAACATCTCGGCATCTTTCCTTGCAATATTATTTTCCCTTATCCTTTCATGTTGTTAAGATCATGCCACACATTTGGTCAGAAACTATCCATCTTGGGGGCACCTGGGTGGCTCAGGGGTTGAGCGTCTGCCATTGACTTAGGGCATGACCCCGGGGTCCTAGAATCGAGTCCCACATCGGGCTCCCCGCAGGGAGCCTGCTTCTCCCTCTGCCTGTGTCTCTGCCTCTCTCTGTGTATCTCTCATGAATAAATAAATAAAATAATAAGTGTAATAATATATATAAGTATAATAAATAATAATAATAATAATAAAGAAACTATCCATTTTTAAATGAACACTAGATCAGGTTGTTTTCATATATTCTTGGAAATTCTTATATATAACATTTCGTACCTGCCTCGTATGATATTGTAGGCATGTGACATAATTTGCACAGTCTCCTCAGGTGGAAAAATAAGATCCTTACTCTTATTTTTTGGCTATTACAAATCATTCTTTTTAAAACAGCACTATCTGTACTCAAAGCCTTGAATGCTTTCTCCTATAAACTCCTCACTTCTTTATGATGAATTAATAAGGGTAAAATTACTATTTGGAAGAGTCTGTTTTCCTTAAGGTCATAAGTATATAGGAAGCACCTAACACGGACCTGACATAAAAAAGACATTAGGCCAACACACGTGTTAGTATATATACCAACAAAGTCATCCCATAGTTGTTGCATCCCTGCTAGCAGCGTCTGGCTACCTGTCTCAGCCAGCACGGAGCGTTCTCATTCGTGCGCTCTGCTGAAAGCACACACACAGACACGAACACGTATGTGTGGGTATAAATATATTAAAGACCACAGATGATTAACGAATAAGGAGAAAGGAGATTACACAGAACCCAACGATGCTGTAAAATGCTCTCTAGTTCTTAGAATTCAAATAACACCTGCCAAAACACGTTGAAAATCAAACACAATAATATAGGAAATTCGGACGGTAAGATATGAAACTTTAATATATATTAGGTCTGGAGCATCTATAAATAACACCGTTTAGACGTTTTCATCAAAATAATCGGATAAAGCTCACATTCTCATACTTTATATCTGAAAACTAATTAATAACCGTGAATTCAGTGTCCTGTATATGTTAAAATTTTGAAAAGGCATCCTACCCCGTCTTAATTTCCCCATTCCTGGTTTCTATCAGGTTTTCTGTCTTTCTTCTTCTTCGTTCTCTCGCCACATGATGCCTCCTCAATATCCCGAGCCTCTCCCCCCACCCACCCTCCGGTCCCACATTTCCGCGGGCATCCTACCTTGAAGGTGCAGTTTGCTCTCCGTGCTTTGCAGAAGGACGGAACTCACAGAGTCCAGATTGTCGTAGCTGTTACAGCCCAGAGGCCCGGTGCGCGTCTCTGTGACCTGAGTGGACACCAGGGGGACAGGTGTGAGACAGACGCCCTGGTCAGACACTTGTGAGACGGGGCCCCGCGGAGTCAGCCCTCAGCAGAGCAGAGCCAGCAGAGAAGGTCTCCTGGCCCGAGCCCATGGCCACTTCCCGGGCACCTGGCCTGTGCCGAGGCCACACGTGGGCCACCTCCAAACAGACGCCGGGAGGGCGGGGCAGTCAAGTCCACAGACTGGAGCCGCTCCCTGGCTCTCACCCCGCAAGGTCACTCTAAGTAGCATATGAATTAACGAGCTGAAGCGGAGGATCCACATTCAAGCCTAACGGGGCCATGACTTTGCTGTGTGACCTAAGGAAGTCCCCCAACTTCCCTGAGCTTCTGTGTGACCTGAAGCTTCATAAATCCTGCCCAGGAAAGCTGAGCGGTGAGACATGATGGGTGGAGGTGCCTGACATATGTTCCAACACGGGCGTCGTGTTCCCCGAATCTCTATATAATCTGTCACTAGTACATATGCATTATTTGGCAAGAACAGTAAAATTAGGCCCATTTTCTGAAAGCCATTTTATAACCATAAAGTAAGCTTGGTTTAGGGTGAAAAGAGGTCTCTCATCCCTCTCACCTTTACTTCCCCACCACTTAATACAATCAAATATTGGGCAGTTTCGAGGTTTGCATCCAACTATAACGACACAGCACCAGTTGTCGCATGACCCGCACGATGGCCATGAGACTCTCCATGCCAGCTGAGCCTTCCTCCCCCTGTGAACCCTTTTGCATCCGTAACTTTTCCTTTCTCGGCCTCAACGTCCCATCTACAGAGCCCTCCTACCCACCTCAACGGGTAAAGAGATCACAGTTCTGGAGCGGTTAGCACGTCGGAACCAGTATATAGATGGAGGATTAGGAGGTTTTGTTTTTTGAACAATTTATTCTTTTTTTTTTCTTTTTTTGGACAAAGTAATGCCATAATTGTTACTGAACGAGGCTCAAAACTACCCTTTCGTTTTGCTAAGGATATCCTGGGAAAGGAAGCTACGGACGGGCAGACGTTCCTCACCGGGGCCAGCGGCTAGTCTTAAACAAAGCTGGCAGCGAGACAGTTCTAGCCAGCGGGGTCTGGGGGTGGTGGCAAGAACTGGCAAGAAAAATCCACGTCCCACACCGAGTGCGGAAGACACTGGTAGGGGAAGAGTGGCTCCTCGAGTGGCCTCTGTGCAATTTCTCTGGGCCATTCCTTGCAAGGAGGCAGGCTGCACTTCCAGGAGGCACAAAAGAAGATTATCTTCTGACAGAGCTTCGATATCTCAATTCCACATCCCATCCGAGGGGGAGAGAACCATTTGGGTGATAATGAAAACCAGGCCTTTGCTTCACCCGGACTCTGATGGCTTCATAAAGGTCTGTCTCCCTGCGCAGAGTTCCCTAACAACATAATCCCCCCAATAGAGGCGATGCTTCTTGGATAAGCTGGCTCTTTGTTTGTCCATCTGATTTATTGCTCTCCTTCCTCCCTCCCACATCTGTCCTCCTCCCTTGGTCAATCTCTAGCTCACCTGGTGGAGTCGGCCTCACCCCCCACCCACCCCCGGTCCCAGCCACACACGGACGTCTCCCCTAGAGATATTTTTTTGCAAGTCTTAACAGAAGGGTAGGTCTGTACTTAATTCAGAAGAAATTAGATCGAAGATTGAGGAGTAGCAGGCAGGTATAATCGGGTTTCAGAAAATGTGAGATGCAAAAACTCCGCACTGAGACCGTGAGAAAAACTAATCCTTTGTATCAAAAATTCCTCCCTCGTCCTCTTTAGAGAGGTAATCCCTGAATTTATTGCATTTAAAATAGAACCTCTTTTTTTTTTTTTTTTTAAGTGTCTGTGCTCCAAGGCACTGAATTGAAAGTCTAGAGCTGCTCTCCTCAGTGTGGCTATTTAAGTGAAAATTAATTAAGATGAAAGAAGCTTGCCAACTTCGCTCCTCGGTAGCCACAGTTCTGGGGCTCCACGACCCCATGTGACCAAGGTCAGCTGTCTCACCACGGATGTAGGGCGCGGCCACCATCTTGAGGCCTCTACTGGATGAGGTCGTTGCAGGGAGCATGGGCCCGCACGTGGCAGGCGGCCCCTTTTTTGTACATAAGACTTCGATTGGCGCGTAGCCGAGCGCACTTATCTGCACACCGTCCGCGGCTGATTTCTGTGTTACGGCTGCAGAGTTGAGTTGGGGCGACCTTGACCGCACGACCTACAAAGCCTAAAATTCTTATTATCTGGCCTTTACAGAAATAGCAGACCCCTAGGTCAGCAAGTAGAATTCTAGTCTCTGTTACGGCATGCTGGCTGTAGAACCCTGAACAAAAAAGTCGTTAGCTCTTGGACCTCAGTTTCCCTACCTGTAAAATGGGAGGCAGTGAGTAATGCGATGCAGAACACAAGAGTTTAAAAATTGCTCATCTAGGCATCAGTAATCCGCCTCTTGCTAGCTCTATGTCCTTGCAAAAATCACTTACCCACTGTTGCCTCAGTTTTGTCTTTGTTTTACCTGGAAAGGGACCCTAAAATATCATGCACGCAGGAGAACCTTAAGCGTGAAATGAGAGGACTGTTGATAATTATGCCACGACCACAGCCGGGGCTGCCCCAGCAAATCGGTACATGTGGTCGCCCTACAACAGGGCTCAGGATCTTACAGGGCCTTTGACGGCACGAGTCAGCGCGGTTGGCAGGGGACACTGTGGTGTTAGCTCCGTGGGTATGAAGCCAGGGACTGTATCTGCCTGTCGGCTCTCAGAATACCGGACCCCTGCAGTGTTGTCTGAAGAACTGTCCACCCCATCCACCCGCAAGCCTACCTTGATTGCTCCAGTTGATATCTGGATCTCATGGAGCCTCCTCATGGTGCCATCACGGTCGACAAAGTAGGATGATGCAAGCTGGTGCAGAGCTTCAACACTTTGGGTGGCATTCCCTGACTTCCTGTCGAGGCGACTTTTGTCCATGTACATGGTCAAGGCCTCCTCCCCTGCATGGAAAAGTAAAGAAGTTCAGGAAGCCTGTCGAGCTTTGGAGTGGGAGGAAAGGCTCCAGGGCCTGGATGCTGACAATAGCCTGGAACTTCCCACCGATTTTGCCTAAATTCCCTTCTGCCTCTGAAAATCAAGAGCACGGGGAAAGAGAAACAGTCCAGAGGTGGCTGTGAGCACCAAGCTCTAGGAGGACAAGGATCACAGAAAGACTGTTCGGGGTCAAGTCCGACCTCTCCCAACCCGCCACGCAGACCTCACCTGCAGCATCTCCAACACGACCCACCTCCTCTCTTTGAGGCTCCCTCTCTCCCTCTGTAAAATGATGCATTTGCCCTAGATACCTCCTCTCCCCTCACCCCCCACTCCCATTCCCTCATTTCTCTCCTTCTCCTGCTGCTGCCCCTTCCTAGACAGACAGATGGATGCACAGATCAACGGATGGATGGCTAAGCAGGTAGACAGATGAGAGAGGAGACATTCTTTAAAGACAAATACTGATAGAGAGCAAAAACCACATGCCTAAAAGAGGGAAAAAACTCAACTGTCCGATCATTGAAGCCAGACACCACCGACGTCAGCCAGTGACCTCCCCTGTACAAAGCCCAGTGCCTGGCACACAACAGATAGTACATAGTTAATCCATCGTGTTTTCCAGTTCCCTCCATCAATATACTCATTACCTACACGAGCCAAGCACTGTGGGTCTGTGAGTACGAGGCACAGACAGGAAGCAGCATCTGCTGGGGAGGGAGGGAGGGTGGCGGGAAAGTCAGGTGTAGGGAGGAGGTCGGAGAGGAAGAAGGAGAGTGTGGGGTGGGGAAATGGAGCAAGCGATGAATGCACAGATCCACGTATTTCATTCCATTAAGTTTTCCTTCGTGACACGTGCATAGGTTACTAACAGCACTAACTTCAGGCCCTTTCACTCGGGTAACCAGGTGTGGCATCATTCTGGAAGGAAAGGAGGGTCCAGAAAGGCCTGCTAAACAGTTATGACCTGCGTACATCTGGGTTCCCTCCTCGCAACTGTGACCTTGGGGATGTTTCTTGACCTCTGTGTTCCTCAGTTTATTCACTAACAAAAGTGGGGGTGGGTGGGATGACACCTACTCCATGGAGCGATTCCGAGGGATTCAATTCATTAATACTTGTCCAGTCCTTATAGCGGGGCCTGGTTCATTGCCGCAGTCAAAGCCATTCGAGTCGTGGCAAAAAGCCACGTCTGGAGCAAGTGTGCCCAGTCTACACTAGCTGTGTGAACACTTACCCTCACTCACCCTCCCCATGCTTCAGTTTCTCCACGTGCAAAGCTGAGGCCAAGGTTGTCCCGGGGTTAAATTCACCTGGACCTGAAGGACCTGAAGCCTGCCTGGCACACACAGGGCAGTTCACTGCCCACAACTTGATTACTGTAAATACCGAATGTTTGAGATGCATCCTTCTGTCCACTCAAGCCAAGAAAATAGGAGAGTCAGAGAACAGCACTGTCAATACTGTCTGAGGGCAAGAGCCTGATACCTAAGATCACCGAGATTTCTTCCGAATGCTGATTATGTTTTGAGTTGGAGAGAAAAATACATCTATTTTTTTGCTTCTGGGAGGAGAGTGATTGCCCTAGGCAGAGTGCACAGCCCCGACCACAGGCTCATCCCTGTGCCTCGGGCGCGTCCGTGGCTGCTTCTAGAGCACAGCTCCACTGCCGTTCAGTTTCGCACGTGCAGTCTCCCGTCCACCCGTTCACTGCCATCTCCCTCCATGAGCTCCAGCCGAGCCATCTCTGCTGTCTCCGGGATGGATTCTTGCTGATTTTCCTCCCCTGGGATCTCCTCAAACGCTTCTCTCCGCTGAGACTGCAATTGTGTCCCTCTCCCATCCGACCACTGAAATCCTATCCAGCGTTTGTCACTTTCTCTGGCCCTTCCTCCTCGGTCCTGGACCTGCCATACTCCTATGCACTCCTCACAGCCCAGTCCCCATCATCTATCTGGAGAGCTTCCCCTGCCATGCCCTCACCCCAAGGAATCGCCTTTCCTCTGTGACTCTCTACCTCATCCACTCAACTGAGCTCAGCACACCTGCATTGAGGAGCCTGGCAGGCACCGCGGTGACAAATGAATGACAACATATTGTCCCTGTTTCAGAGTCACTGAGTGACGACAAGTATGCTACCCAGTGGGAGGGCTACCGGCCAAGTGTGTCTATCGGGCACTTGAAATGAGTGGAGTCCAAACTGAGACGCGCTGCGGGTGTGAACCACACGGTAGATTGCCAATATCCGAAAATGTAAAACATGATATAAAATACTTCATTGGTAGCTTGTCCTATTGATTACGCAAGGACGTGATAGCATTTTGGATAGATTGTGTTAAATAAAATACATTGTTAACACTGATTCTCCCTTTTTTTCTTTTTACTTTCAGAGATGTGGTTGTGAGAACGTCTAAGATGGCGTATGTGGCGCACAATCCTATTTCTATTGGGCAATGCTGGTGCAAGGACACAGAGACGAGAGGGAATGGATAGCAAAGGTAGAATGACACGGAGAGAGGATGTTGCCCAGAGGAAAGGGGGCCTGCATCCCTGTCGGGAATACAAGGCACTGATGCTCTGGTCTCCCCAGCCGCATCCCTGCCACTCTCTCTCTAGGTATGCTCGATCCTGCACAAATGCACCCTGTTTTCTCATTGTGGTGACTCTTCTTTCTTTTTTTTTCCTCCTGGCTAATGTCTACTCTTCCCTCAGACATCACCTAAGACAACACCCCCTCTAGGAAGCCTTCCTGGAATCCCCCACTCTTTACTTAAACTAGATTAAAAACTCTATCTAACCAGGTGTTCCCTGTCTCCTTTATTTCTCCAAAGGATCATGTCCCACATTTCCTGGCACTTGCTTGCTTAATAGCCCGTCTCCCTCTAGAGGAGAATCGCTATGAGGTCAGGGAGGGTGTAAAAGGCTTTCCTCATTTCATTGTCATTGCCTCGCAAGACAGGGACTAGTATCACGTGCCTTAGCAGATGATTGGAATATTTGTGGATGAATGGATACATAGTATAGGAAGTGATCCAACTCGACTATGTTCATTGAGTGACACACCTGCTTCAAGTACTAGACTAAAATCTCCCGATGAGAAGATTTATCTTCATCAAAATTAACCTTTGGGTGCCACACACCTAGACGTGAATCAAGAGGAAGACACTCATGTTTGCACTTTCCCATGAAGTCTCACTGGTAATGCAGGAGGACATGATCTTCCATCCTTCAGGATCCACAATGACCTAAATAGAGTTGGCTTAAAAATGACTTTAGATACAATTAAGACAATGAATTCCAGGAGGGTGCATGATGGCCTGGTGGAGCAAGGACTCTACGGATTCATTTGTAATGTTCCCAATGCTTCACCAAGGTCAGAAGAAGAGATGTTCAGTTATCGTGGGATGGATGAATGGATGGGCGAAGGGATGGGTGAATGGATAGGTGAACGGATGGGTGAACAGACAGGTGAACAGATGGGTGAATGGATGGGTGAACAGATGGATAAATGGATGGGTGAATGGATGGACAAATGGATGGGTGATCGGATGAGCAAAGGGATGAGCGAATGGATGAATGAATGGATGGGCAAATGGATGAGTGAATAGATGGATGAATGGAGGGGCAAAGGGATGGGTGAATGGATGGACAAACAGATGGGTGAACGGATGGGCGAACAGATGAGCAAGTGGATGGATGAACAGATGGGTGGATGGATGGGCAAACAGGCAGGTGAATAGATGGGTGAATGGATGGGTGAACAGATGGATAAACGGATGGGTGAATGGATGGGTGAAAGGATGGGTGAACAGATGGGCGAATGGATGAACAGATTGGTGAACGGATGGGCAAACAGACAAGTGAACAGATGAGTGAACAGATGGGTGAACAGATGGATGAACGGATGGTGAATGGATGGGTGAACAGATGGATGAACGGATGGGTGAACGGATGGGTGAACAGATGGGTGAATGGATGGACGAACGGATGGGTGATCGGAGGAGCAAATGGATGAGTGAATGGATGAATGAATGGATGGGCAAATGGATGAATGAATAGATGGATGAATGGAGGGATGAAGGGATGGGTGAATGGATAGGTGAATGGATGGGCAAAGGGATGGCTGAATGGATGGATGAATGGATGGGTGAACAGATGGATGAATGGATGGGTGAACGGATGGGCAAACAGATGGGTGAATGGATGGGTGAACAGATGGATGAATGGAGGGGTGAACAGATGGGTGAATGGATGAATTAATGGAGGGGCGAAGGGATGGGTGGATGTATGGGTGAACGGATGGGCAGACGAATGGGTGAACAGATGGGCGAACGGATGGGCAAAGGGACCGGCAAAGGGATGGGTGAATGGAGGGGCGAAGGAATGGGTGAATGGATGGTTGAATGGATGGGTGAACCAATGGGTGAGCCGATGGGTGAACCGATGGGTGAACCGATGGATGAATGGATGGCTAGATGGATAGATGATTGGATGGATAGATGAATAGATAGATGGGCCAAGTGGTAAATTATTCAATATGTGAATCTACTAGATGTTAAAGCTACAAAGCAGAGGAAATAAATATTCCAAGTGTCAGTGCAGGCTCTCCATGGGGCTCACAAAAAGAGAAGGTGGAACAAGCACAGGTCCCTTCGGACTGAAAACTGGCAGAAGCAAGCCTTAGATCAAGAGGGGTTAATGGGCTTCTTGCTGCATTATTAAGACTTAATTTCTTGTTTATTAAGAGAATGTTCTGTTTAGTGTTGCTTTCCCATTTGGGCATTCCTGCAAATTGCCTCTTCACCCCACATAGGCCTTTCCTCCATCTCTGTCCTCCAGGGTATTTGCCTCACTGTCTGCACCACTTCTTTCAGAGGTGAACAGAGTGGGACTCAGACACGCAGGGGATGGGGATGAGGTGGGAGCCGATCCTTTTACCTTGTGAGTGTAGAAGGGATACTGCTCCAGGATAGGGGGAGGGGTGCCGGATTTGGGGCCTCTGGGGCATCCCCCATCCCTTCCTTCGGTGTTTGTTTGACTTTATTCTCAGCCTTTCTCTCAGCCCGGGGGAAGCTTTCCCAAAACACAGGGTGAGGGAATAATGAATATATGCACAAATGTACACAAGTACAAACACACCAGCCCTCGTGCATAAAAAGACATTCATGTAATTTCCACATATTCACAACATGTGCAGCCTGACACACACACACACAATCGTACATCACATCTATATGCATGAGTCCAGTGGGTGTGCACGTGTGCACTGCATATGCATGTACACACTCTGCGAACGGATGAACTGACGTCCGGTCTAGGCGGGCGTCGCACATCTGTCTGTGCAGGGAGGCATGTACTCCCAGGCAGGCCGACCTCATCATACGCATCACACAGAATGGCCGGGCTCCGAGCTCTTTCCCTCAGAGGGACAGGGGGAAATGGCCGTCCCTCTATCCCTGCGTGTCATTCCAAACCCATAATTTCTCCCCTTACCACCTCCTGTGAGAAGAATCATTTGCATCCAGTACATATGGGGTCTAAGCAATTTCACAAAAACACTCGAGGAGCCCCCGGAAATGGCAGGTGTCGGCCCTCCCACCAGCTGCATTTCCTCTTTCTCGCTGCCCTTCCTTCCTCTTCCCTCTCCCTCAGGAGCCAAATAAATGCATTTACTTGTTCTCCATGTGACAGTTTAGGATCATCTTCTGTTGTCGGAGCACGCCCTCAGGAACGCACCTGACACCTCGAACAGCTCATCAGAGCGTTTCTTCTAAATGAACATGCTGTTCTTAGGAAAAATTACATTGAATAGCATTTTCTGCACCTTCTTGCATTTAGGCAGGACCACGGACACCCAGATAGGAAACTGAATTGCTCAATGTCCCCTATTCACCTAGTGAGTGGTAGCAACCGGCCCGAATCCCAAACCCCCAAGCTCCTTAGCCCCATGAAATTATAATAATTATCGTACGAATAATAAAACACCTCCAATGGTAACAACAATCTGTTTGGTGCCAAACACTGGGCTCAGCACCTTTAATGCCCCATTTTATTTAATTGTCATGACGTGTATGTCTATTTATAAAAAAGGAAACCAAGACCTGGAGTAGGTGGCACAACACTGGAGACAGGACTAGAACCAACTCCAGAGCCCGCCCTTCCATTCACTATAATTTACCCCTTCCCTACCCTCCCCTTGCATGAGGAGGCTCCTAAGGAACATTTTTCCATGATTGAGCAAGTGAAAACATGACGCAGGAAGGACCTCATGCAGTGTCTGGCACCCTGTGCTCAGTCGACAGTAAATCTTTTCCCCTTCCTGCTCCCCACTCCCCAACGTTGAGGATTGGGGGAACATTTAGGGCTTGCTGTCCAACACTGGAACTCAATCCAAGGCTTTGCATATTTTAAAATGTTGTGCTGTAAAAACAGAAGAGGAACAAGGCTCTGTGAATAATTCACCACTCTGCCTTGGAGAAATTAAAAATATATTTCACAGCCAAAGAAAGGTCTTTGCTATTTGGTATTTCCAGGGACTCGGACAGAATGCAGCTTCTAATTGAAGAATGGAATATTTATTTATTTATTTATTTATTATTTATTATTTATTTATTTATTGAAATGAAATGGAAGGTGGAGAAGTCCAAAGAGAAGGGGTATAGGTTAATGAAATGCTCAGTCCAGAAGTGATTTAGTTTTCACTTTACAATAGAATATAATTTATACTACATGATTTAACATTCAAAGTCCTGCTTAACTTTATGTTTGATTAGCAACAGGAGACAAATACACACTGTTTGGTTGATTTGGGAGTGGGTGGGTCGGGGGGCGGGGCAGTGAATGAGTTGGTTAAAGGGAGACTGATGTTGAGTCGAAACAAAACAAAACAAAACAAAACAAAATGCAGGCTTTGTGGACAAAAAAAAAAAAAAGAAAAAAAAACGAAGTTAAAGACTTGGAGTAAACTGTGTTGTGTTGTGTTGTGTTTTTAGTTTAAATAAACAGAACAAAACCCAAACCAAAAGAAACCTTGGCTCTGTGGCTTGCTAATCACACGTCTTCTGACTTCTGGCTTTCCCTCAGCTGGACAAGGGAGATCATTTGACTCCACTTGCAGATTTTAAGGACTACGGGCAAACAATAAATGCCGGCTTTTCTTATTGTGAGGACACATGAGTGTGCCCAACCGATTTCTCCTCCAACATTGCCCACATTGTCAGATTCCTAAACCTGGGCTTCCTCTAATGTACACTGCGTGCTCAGCCTGGAAAGCACTGCCACCTTCCTGGGGCCTCCTGCCCAGCTCAGGAGGGCTGTGTCCTCTGGCATCTCGGCTCGTGGGGCTCACCCCTCCTCTGAAGGACGAGATGGGATGTTACGATCCAACCTCAGTCCACTCCCCTGCCTCCGTCCATACTCCAGCCTGGTTTAGCAGGCTAGGGCCCAATCTCAATACAACCTAGCAGCTCTGAGTGGGAGGGGGTGCGGTGCCCCACCACCGAAGAGCCTGTCTCCACATTTAGTGGACCTGGTCACTGGGGCAGCAAACCAATGTCCCAAGTGTTGAAGCTCACAATGTAAAGTGAAGCACGGAGGCAAGCACCATAAGCATCAAAATACACTCGTTTCTACCAAATCCCCCCTTACAAAAACGTATTTCCTTGTTTTCTTCTCTCGGTCTCTCCTTACTCCCCTAAAGATTGGAGGGACTTGCTGGGCAGGGATGCGTAAGGCCAAGCAGGATGGAGCAATTAGTCAGCTTTCCTATTAACCTACTCCGAACCCACATAAGATACAAACAATACCCTTACTTGTAAAATGATGACCTCAAGTTATCAGTCCCTCAAGCAGACTTAAGTAAACAAAGGCAATCCTCTAAACAGCATCTGAAGCTTAATTATTTCCCCAGATTAGACCACGTTCCAAGGGAACTAATACAATAATCAGATTAAGCATCCCTGACGAATTGAGCTAATTCCAAGGTGAAGCCACAAAAGTTAGCACTTCCACAAAAGTTAGTAAACTCAGGTTAGACTGAGTCCCAGAGACTGGAATCAAGTGCTCGGACGTGACCACAACAACCAAGACAACTTGGCTTACCTGGCAATACCTTGGCTTTGGAGTGACATTCAAAGGAGGAGATGCTGGTGTGGCTTTGATCCTCGGACACCCCACCCTCCCCTCCAACCCAGGCCCAAAGGCATGATAAGGCTCTGGCCCAGCGGCTGCCAACCTACCTCCCAAGGTGGCAGAGATGAGGAGGTGGGTGCCGTACTTTTTGATGATGGTATCAATGAACTGCTGAGTGGTGGGTCTCCTGCCAAGCAGGCGGATGCTCCTTTGAAACTCTGGCATGAGGGGCACTGGGTGACGGACCAGGTCTCTCCTCTCGATGGCTGTGTTCCTCACCTTCCAACGGGCAAACTCCCTGGGTAAGAAAGATGAGAAAAATGCCTTAACTTACCACTTCTAAGCCCAAGGCAAAGTTCACCCAACCATCCCACCTGGGCATCTTTCCACAAGGTAAGAGGGTGACAACAATTGTTTTTAATATGTGTCAAGTGCTACTTAGATCGGAAGCCCTCTATTCTCTTCAGCCAACAAATATATACCGAGCACTGTTCTCACTACCGGGACATGGTAGTGAGCCAGGCAGACACACTCACACTCTCATGTTGCTCACAGAGCTTAAAAGTCATTGCTGCCCAGCTGCTTGTGCACCTCTCTCACTAGACGGTGAATGATACCAGAGATGGAATCTTCCCAGGTACACGGTGCCTGTTACCTGGTAGGACTCTTACGGATGCCAGCTGGATGAATAAGCACATGAGTGCATGGAAGGGTGGAAGGGTGGGAGGATGGAAGAAGGAAGGAAGGAAGGAAGGAAGGAAGGAAGGAAGGAAGGAAGGAAGGATTGGAGGATGGAAGGGAAGATGGAAGAAAGGGAGGGAGGGAGGGAGGGAGGAAGGAAGGAAGGAAGGAAGGAAGGAAGGAAGGAAGGAAGGAAGGAAGGGAGGAAGGGAAGATGGAAGGAAGGGAGGGAGGAAGGATGGAAGGACGGATTTGAGGATGGAAGGGAGGAAGGAAGGATGGAAGGAAGGATGAATGGAAGGATGGATGGGAGAATGGAAGGAAGGAAGGAAGGAAGGAAGGAAGGAAGGAAGGAAGGAAGAGAAGGAGGATGGAAGGAAGGAAGGAGGGAGGAAGAAGGAGCAGAAGAAGGCTGTTCATGGGGAGTCCTGGGCTTACAGCCCTCAGACAACCCGGAAACCAGCTAATTAGCCCAGAGCTGAGTGCTGCACAGACTCTAAGAGGCACCCGGTGAGCATTTACCGTCGGAAGAAATCAAGCTACGAGGCGAAGACTCTGTGGGAGAATTTCCCTTCCCCCTCCACTCGGGGCAAAGACCGTGGGCTGGGAGCCCAGCTCGGGCCTCTGTGCATCCTGCAGGCCATGTGACACCGTCCTGGGCAGGCCTGGCATCTCCTGATCGAGGAAATCCTGCCAGCCCCTCCTCCTCCTCCTCCTCCTCCTCCTCCTCCTCGGTGCACAGGTCACAGAATGGTGACAACACCTTGCAAGCTGCAGGGTCCCCATGGCTGTGACCGAGTGGTGGGCTCCGGGCCTCCCGAATCCCCAGACGTGGAGACCCTTACAGGCTCGCAGGCCACGCAGCAGGAGCATGCTCAGACGCAAGGAGAACCCCGTGGGCCCTGACAGGCCGCTGTCGCTTAGCTGCCATCTGTCCCCCCAGGGATGAAGCTCCTCCTGGAGCGACCGGCCCCCCGCCGGCCTGGGTGCCAAGGCCCCCGGGCTAGCCGCGGGGACGCTGGGCGGATGGGCCGCGCTAGGCCGCGGGAGGCAGGGGCATGATGGCAGGTGGCCCCAGATGGGCCCCAAGGTCCCGCTGGGGAGTCTCACTACGACACCTGGGACGGAGCTTCTGAAGAAAACGCCTCGGAGCTGGAATAGGGTCGGGGTCCGTGGCCGCGTGGGGAGCCTCTGCCCATCAGTCCTGCCGCTGGCGAGGCCAGGCCGTCAGCGCTGCACTCAGGTCAGCGCTGCACTCACCAGGCCACAGGTGGGGGGCGACGCTGCTGAGGATGCTGCCGGGGACGCTCGGGGTGGCGGGCATGACAAGCCGGGCCCCGCGTGTCGTGCGGCTGCAGGCCATGGGCAGAAACTGGGGGGGGGGGGTGAGGTCTGGGAGGCGCCGAGCAGGACGGGGGGCTTGAGGAAGGTCTCCTGGGTCGACCAGATGGAGCGAGAGGGGCAGGGAGGGACGTGCCAGCCAGTGGAGGACACGTGAGCGGTGCCTGCGGGACCCACACCCTGGCCTGCCCCACCCTGGGCCACCAAGGCCGCTGCTTGAGCGTGGGCAGCCCGGGACCCAGCGGCTTGCACCCAGCGGGTGGGACGTGGTGGGATTGTGCTCCCTCCGGGGTGGGTTGCGGCACCCTGTGACTTGTGCTTTGTGTCTCTGTGTCTCTGTGTCTCTCTGCCGGGGTGGGAGATGCCCTGCAGAAGGACCACGTGGCCAGGAGCCCGGGGAGGCCTCGGCCGGCAGCCTCGGAGGAGGAGGGACCTCAGAGGACCCGAGCCCTGGCCACGCAGGGGGAGCGGGGAGGGCGGCCCTCCTGGGGGGCCTGGGGCCCACGAGCCACCGCCTGCAAGGGGAGGGCACCGCCGGCCCGAGGCGCCCCGTCCGCAGGAACCGCCTCAGTTAGTCGTGCTGCTCGGAGCCGCTCGGCGACGGGGGCAACGGGCTCCTGGGCCCGAGATGACCCGCAGGAGGCCAGGGGGGCGCCAGACGCCTCGGAGCAGGAGTCCGGCCTCCTCCGCTCACCGCCGCTTACAGGACCACATACACAATCACGGGATTACATGTGTGCACGGAAAACACGCAGACGTCAGGATAACAGACAGATGTGTGACCACTCGGATCTAGGACTTAGGACCTCGGGTGACTCATCGTTTCTTCATGTGCCTGTGACTATGGGCCTCACACTAAGACGCGGTTACACACACGGACGTTAGGTAACGTGTCGGAGGTCACACAGCTTAGTGAGCAGCAGTGCTGGGGGGTGGGGGGTGCAGGAGGGCAGGGGGTGGGGGCGGGGGGTGAAGGAGGGCAGAGGGGTGAGGGGTGGGGGGGCTCAGGAGGGCAGGGGGTGGGGGCCCGTGGGGGGTAAGGGCCAGGGGCGCACACTGAGGATGAGGCTGGTGAGAAAATCCTCAGGCCAAGGCTGCAGGACTCCTCCCGGTGCTGTCCTCCTCAGCAGCCCTCTGCTCCCCTGCACTCGCGCACACCCATGCACACACTCGCGCACACGTGCGCACGCACACACGGAGGACAAGGGCCTGTGGCAAGTGCTGGGCCCCGGGAAGGAAGCTGATGGCATCTGGTGCTCCCCAGCCCGGCTCGCCGGGGCCCAGGAAACCCTGAATCAGCCCCCACCTTGCCCCGGCTGAGCTGCGCCTTCGCGAAGGGGTTTGCTCCCAGGGCGCCCGGGGAAGCGTTGGGGGGGGGGGTTCAGGGCCCTGCCATCATCCTCGTGCTCGAGCCCTAGGAAGTGCTCTGGCTCTGGGGTCGCAGGGAGGACCCAGCGATGGGCAGCCCGGACCCTCCTGACGTCCCCGAGGAGAGGGACCGGGCCATGCCCCGCACCGGGCGCAGAGGGCAGAAGGTGCCCAGGAAGCTCTTCGTCAACCGCAACAGGGTGGCTGTGGCAGCTGCAGGCTGCCCTTGGCGTTCTGCTCTCGTTATTACCTGCGGGCGCCACTCCCGGTGAGGTTTCAACTGCATAAAGTGCTTCCTTTTTGTTTCCTCCCCTATGAGATGGAAGCTCACAGTTTCCAGTCCCCGGGTTGCGAGGGGGCACCATGGAGGTGCCGGGCCCGGGAGGTGCTGGCCGCGTAGGCGTCTCCTCCAGCGTCTGCGAGGTGATGGGGGCCCCCCTGCCCTCTGCAGAAGCCGAGGGTCGCTTTACTCTTTAGAAGGTGTGTCTTGCAGCTTGTGGTTTGCTTTTGAAGTCGGTTCCCTGACCAGCTGGGACTCCGGACCCCGGGATCGAGATCTGAGCCGAGACCAGAAGTGTGGGGTGCCTGACTGAGGAGGCACCCGGGCGCCCTTTGTTGCTTGCTTGTTTACCCGAATCTGATGTAGCAGAAAGACTTGGAGGTGGTTTTCGAACACACATACCGTATACACTTAGAAATACAGAAAAAAGGGAAAACTAAGGGGAAAAAATATATTATTTTGAAGTCCGGCTTAAATTTGCTCGGGAGCTTAACTCCGTAATGCCCTCATGACCTGGTGGAGCCGGGCTGCACAGGTCTCCGAGCTTCCCTGCAGTCGAAGGCAGGAAGGAACCTCAGCCAAGGGCCATCGTGCCGACGAGATAATAGGGCAGTTGTCCAAAGCTGTGGAAGAAACACGATCTCCAGAGGCTACGGGAGACCCAAGCACCTGCCACGGTGGCTGCTAAGGAGACGGGGGGCAGTGCATGTGGGCCGCGGAGCGCGGGAGCAAGTCCGCGTGGCCCAAGCCCGCTACAGTCTATACGCGGGGCTGTCTGGGGTTCTGGCTCCGTCCTGGGGTCCCGGCCAGTGTCTAGACACCGTGCCCCCGAAAATGTTTGTGGGTGGGATGACTGGTTACGCTGTTCACTCCTGGGGGCCTAATCCCATTGGTTGTATTAATTAATGTTTGGGAAGTGGATTGCAAACAAGCCCCCGGGTGTCTGGGTGGTGGGGCTGGAGGGACGGGGGTGGCTGTTAGCAGCAGGTTGTCCTCAGGGAGCAGCGAGCAGAGCAGACCGCGGAGGGGGAGGAGGAGGAGGAGGAGGAGGAGGAGTAGAGGCACTGACCCGGGACAGGGTGGGGAGGGCGAGCGGCCTTTGCGGCCCTCGCGGCCTGCTGCTCCCCAGCAGCTCAGGGAAGGGGAACCCGGGGGCAAATGCGAAATGGAAATGATGCAGCTCACGAGCGAGGGTGTCCGAGACAGTCCCCGGTGGCCTCCACGCCCCGAATGGAAGCAGGGGCAGCGGGGGAACTGGGGCGCTCGGGTGCCTCTCCCGGGGCAACTTGGGGCCAGGTGGAGGAGGGGGGAGGAGGGGGGAGGAGCAGAAAAAACTCTGAAAACATCACTGGGAAGAGCTTCACTCTAATGGCCAGACACCGACTCAACTGTGCAGATAGAAGAATCCTTCCTGCCCGTGCACGGCCGCCTTCCTGCTCTCCGGGGCGCGTCGGCTGGAGGGGGAGGGGTGCCACTCTTGCTGCCCAGCAGCCCAGGAGCCCTCTGAGGGCTCTTCTGGGATAAGGTTCCGAGAAACCAGGAGAAGCGTGTCCTTGGGATGGGGCTACAGGCTTCTCATCGAGCAGAAACTTGAGAGCGAAGAATAGACCCTTAACTCTGGGGAACAA